ATAAACTTGTAACACCACCAGTATATGCTTGTACGATTACAGCCTGTTCACATGAGATCATTTCATATCTCAATACCCGAGTTTATTTTAAATAAATCCATTCAAAAAAATGAACAATTACAATCAAATACTGCCACTGTGTTTAATATACACATATTGATGTATTCAGTGATCGTATAGTAGCTGATTGGTGCAATACGATCATGTCAACTATAATATTGCATTGTTGATAAATGTGCTTGCATGACAATGATGTGTATGGATAACTGGACCACCACATACACGACATGGTATACTTGCACCAGTATACCATATTCCAGCTGTTGATATCGCGCATTCGATGTCATTGCAATGTATCAACTCACTCAACACGATTGGTATCGATTGTTGCAGTCGTCAAATGTCGTCATTACTCATGCATGTACCAGCTGTGTGTGATTGATATTGATCATCATGACATGTATTCAAATGCAACACTATCAATATACACCGTGACATTTGTGATCAACTATAACTGGTATGGACTGCAATCGATTGTACACGGCAGTGTAGCATTTATCGCAGTTGTTGATCTATGCTCAACAATGTTGTAATGTTGAGTGACTGGATCAAATTGCAGTGTATATACGAGTCATACAATGAGTCGTACAACGAGTTGCTCGAGTGATGAAATGAGTACATCAATCCAGAATACAAGTCAACCATGACATATGATCATGATGTGTGGTTGATACAACTATATAGTGACAATCGATATTGATATAGTAGCACACAACATACAATATCACAACACATGTTAATGGCCGACTAATAACTGAATGTCAGCCAGCTGCGTACAGTTTTACTTGGTTTGTGCTTGGCTATATTGTGACGTACTGACCCTTTTGGGGTGGACGAGGGCGGAAAACTGTAGAATCGATCATACGATATTTGAATACACAAGCAATTGTTGATCAAAATTACGAATCGTCATATAAAGGAAGATCCCTTTAAAGTTTAGCATTGATAGTAATAAATTATTACCAACCCTGACAATAGCGCTAGT